AAATAAGAAGCTTCCAGAGCCAAATCTCCAACCTCCATCACATTCCCCACAAAAATAAGTGACTCAAGAGAAGAAAATCATTCATCCCTAGCATAGGCCTAAAAAGAAAAGGCCATAACAAGAGAAGGCTAATAAACTCCCCAAGTGAGTTACACAAGAAATCAGAAATTCCTCCTCCATGGAATAAGAACTTCCCAGAGCCAGCTCTCACCATCATCAAGGAGTCGAGACTCCATCCCATCCGAGGGTAACCAAAATTAGATCCCCAAGGAAATGAAAATTCCCCATTGGATCATCAAAAAGAAAAACATATCCCCAGTGAGCCTACTGCAAAGGCAACCTTCAAAACTCACATCCTCAGAGAGTCGTTTGCCTGTGCATAGGAAAAACCTAGCAAGCAAGAGCCAACATTCCTCAAGTGGAACATCAGCCTACTCAAAGGCAAAGAAATATAACCAAAAGTCTTCACCTTCAAATGAAGCATTCGCCTACCAAGAGGCATTATCATCAGAATCAACAAATCCCTAGCGGATTCCTGCCTACTCAAGAGGCATTCGTTAAAAACCCCCAGCAATCAACAAAGTTGGATGGCTAATTACAAAAGCCAAAATAATCCTGGCACACCGGACAAAAATAATTTTCAAAGCAAAAGAACTACTCCCCATGGAGTCAGCGCATGAACGAGATCAGTAAGTCGTTATCACACAATTTAGTCCAAGGAAAGGACTTCAAAACCAGAGGGGGGTTCGTACTCATCAAACCAGATGGGGGTGCATACTCATCCAGTCCTACGAAGTGGACTGCAAATCAGATGGGGGTTCATACTCGTCAAACCAGATGGGGGTGCGTACTCATCCAACCCTACGAAGTGGACTACAAACTAGATGGGGATGCGTACTCATCCAACCCTACGAAGTGGACTGCAAACCAGAAGGGGGTTTGTTCTCGTCAAAACCAGATGGGATGCATACTCATCCAACCCTACAAAGTGGACTGCAAACCTGATGGGGTTAGTACTCATCAACCACGCCAAAAGAAGCAACCTGGAGCTTCACATTCATCATCCAGAGGGTTAGCTACCGCACCAAAGGAATATCCGAAGGACGAACTGGCAAGAAGGTCAACTCCTTCACCCACCATCCGGTCCTACAACACATTCGCCTGCAGCTGGTCTGGTAGATGAAGGGGGGGGGGGCAAGCTATAGACCCCAAATCTTTCCCAGTTAAAACTGTAGCTCTCAGAAATCCTCCATTTCAAAGATGGTTAAGGCTCCATTAGGTCCCCAGTAATACTCACTAGGTTCCATTTAAGAATAGGAGAGAGTTTTGAGAAAATAAAAATTTTAGAAAATTCAGAAAATTGGGACTATCGTCCCACATATCCAGACAGTCGTCCCACTTGTCATTTAAGTTGGGATGGCCATCCCACCTTTCCTTGAGGCCGGGACAGTTGTCCCACTTTCCCAAATGGTCGTCCCACTTTTCCTTAAGCCCAGGACGGTCGTCCCAATTTTCCAGACGGCTGTCCCAACCTGCCTGACACGATTTGCTATAAATAGGAGGCTCATTTCTCCACTTTCTACACACTTTCACACTCTCCTATGCTCTGAGAACCCAGTTCTGGGATTTCTAAGCAACTCTGAATATTATTCCAGAGTCCGAGTGATATTTTTGACACTCGAGGCGTTTAGTTATTATTTTTTCAAGGAATGAGTGTCTTTGTAGAGTGCGAGGACTGCCAAAAATCGCCCTCTAGTTCAAGATTTATAAAAGTTCACTTTGGAGGTTTTTCTTCATATCTCTTCTCTTTTACTACTTTCCTTGTATGTATTAGTTATTAGGGTCATGTAGGTAGCTATTTAAATATTGCAATGAATAAATAGGGTAGAAGCATAATTTTCAATGTCTTTATTTTAAGATTATTCCATCATAGGGAACCCGCAAGGGGCGTTGTGGGGTGTTAATACCTTCTGCACATGTAACTAACTCCCTTACCCAACTCTAGTTATAATGGCCAAAGTTGGTTTTCTTAAACCAATCCCTTCTTCTTTCCTTTTTCGATGTTTATGGTAAAAATATTGGTGACGACTCCTTTAACCCATTTGCGAAAACCTCATTCTTAAGGGTAGTTCGTTTATCGGACATCTTAAGAGCGATGACCATATTTTTAAAACAAACATGAGTCACCAAAACCATTGCGTCGCTCCGACCGCTTTTTTGTGGTGGCAACATCCCTCAAGCGATGAAGAGATCACACCTTGTGAAGGTGATTTATTAATAGTAAGGCGGATGTTGGGTCAAGTCCAGAAGGATCTTGACAATACTCAAAGAGAAAACATTTTTCATAGTCGTTGCCTTATTAATGACAAATTGTGTTCACTTATCATCGATGGGGGAAGTTGTGTGAATGTTTCTAGCACGAGAGTAGTAGACAAGTTTGGTTTGCCCACACTCCTCATGCCAAGCCATACAAGCTTTCCTGGCTTAGTGAGGAAGGCGAGATAGAGGTCAATAAACAATTTCTAATTAGCTTTGCGATTGGAAACTATAAAGATGAGGTTCTTTGTTGTCGCTGCCGTCAAAAAGAGGCAGTCGGAGCGACGCGATGGTTCCGACTTTCCAATCTTCGCGTTTTTGTTAGAATCGCACAGCGGAATGTTCGCGTGGTCAGACAAAAACCAAGAGCGGGGGTGAATTGGTTTCTTAACAAAAAATTAGGTTTTCAAAATTTTCCCCAAATTTTACCGATTAAAAAACTGTGTAAATGTAAATAGAGAAGAGAAGAAATCTTACACAGGAGATTTATGTTAGAATCGCGCAACGATTTTCGACGTTCAAAAGCGTTTCACTCATTTTGAATTTGTTTTGCAAATTTTCAGATTTTCAACGTCGAAAACTTTAATTCTTAAGTCTTTCTCATTTTGAATTTGTTTTGCAAATTTTCTAAAGACCTTAAAAGCTTCACTTTTCATAGTTAGGAAAAATGTCCATGTATATCTAGAGTAATCATCAACAATCACAAGGCCATAATAATTTCCACCAAAGCTTTTTATCCTAGAAGGTCCAAATAAATCCAAATGTAATAATTCTAGGGGTTTTGAAGTTGAAATAACATTCTTTGATTTAAACGATGATTTTACTTGTTTACCTTTTTGACATGCATCACATAACCTATCTTTTTCAAATTTTAACTTAGGAAAACCAATAACTAAGTCTTTTGATATCAATTTATTCAAATGATGCATATTTATATGAGCCGCCCTCTTATGCCACAACCAAGGGTTCTCTTCCTTAGAAACTAAACATGTTATGCTAGAATCATGTAAACAATCCAAATCAATCAAATATATGTTGTTATGACTAATTCCTTTTAATTCTATATTTTCATAATCTATCAAATGTATGGTGCAAAATTTACTTTCAAAAATTACCTTGAAACCTTTGTCACATAGTTGACTTATGCTAAGGAGATTATGTTTAAGTCCATCAACAAGAAGCACATCCTTGATCTCCAAAGTGTTTGCACCACCTATGTTTCCAATTCCAAGAATCTTCCCTTTGTTGTTGTCCCCATAAGTTACATATCCTTGTTCCTTAGCTTTGAAACTCACAAATTTAGATTTATCACCGGTCATATGTTTTGAGCATCCGCTATCAAGATACCACATAGACTTCTTAGATTTGGAAGTTTCCTCAAAGTCGGAAGAAATGTTGTCATTTACCATTAAGCAAATATTTGCTTCTACTTCTTGAGTCACTGTTGTCCCAAGCAATATAAGCTTTCTTCTTGAAGACCTTTTTGCCTTTGAATTCATCGTTTTTCTTGTTTGGGCATTCGGTCTTTACATGCTCTGCTTCACCACAACCATAGCGTTTTATATTTAAGGAAGTACTTTCTCATACCTTTCCCTTACCTTTGAAAGGATGCCTTCCTTTAGCTTTCATGAATTTGGTGAACTTCTTTATCATAAGACTCAACTCTTCTTCTTAATTTTCCGAGTCTTCTTCTTCCTTCTTATTTTTACCTTTGGAAATTTCGGTTTTGAAGGCTAAATTCTTCTTTTGATATTACCCTTCTTCATCGTTTAGCCTCCCAAGCTCAAGCTCATGCTCTCTTAGCTTTCCGAATAGCGCCGCCATTGACATTGTGGCAAGGTTTTGTGACTCTGAGATGGCCGTCACCTTAGGTTGCCATTTCCTATCCAAAGATTTTAAAATTTTAACATTTAATTCATCAACGTCAAATATTTTACCTAATCCGGTGAGATGATTCCCAATATGAGTGAAACGCTTTTGAACATCTCGTATTCTTGGATTAAGGAGTTTTTATGTGCTCTCTTGACGTCGTCAGTACCTTCGTGGGTCACTTTTAGCATTGTAGACCCCAAATCTTGCCCGGGCTCCAAATAAAGTCAGAAGATCCCCTATTCGAAGACGGCCGAAGCCTAGCAAGCCACTAGGAGAGACTATTAGGCTCCCGTACCAAGATGGGAAGGGTTTTTCGGCCCAAAATAAAGTTTCTCGCGTGGAAGGGGACTCCCGGGTCAAGTCTCGCTCAAGCGAGTACGTCCGCCGCTTGAGCGAGAGGTGCCGCAATCAAAGGGGACTTCCAGGTCGAGTCTCGCTCAAGCGAGTACGTCCGCCGCTTGAGCGAGAGGTGCCGCAATCAAAGGGGACTTCCAGGTCGAATCTCGCTCAAGCGGCGGTGTACTCGCTTGCGCGACGGATGCTGCAACCAAAGGGGGCTGCCGGGTCGAGTTTCGCTCAAGCGGCCGATGTACTCACATGTACTCGCTTGAGCGACGGATGCTCCAACGAGGCCGGGGTCTCGTTCACCCGAGCCGGGGTCTCGTTGCCAACGAAAGCGAGGCCGGGGTCTCGTTCGTGTCGAATCTCGCTCAAGCGATCGTGCATTTTCGCTTGCGCGACTCTGGAGCAAGCCAACCAAAGGGCTGCCGGGTCGTAGTTTCGCTGCTGGCCTGGCTGCAGCCTCACACATTTCACCACTGGAGTGAGTGAGCTTGCTGAATGAGAACCCAGGTTTCATGCCTGCCAAAGACCCACAGCCCATGACTCACATCACCTTCCACAAAGATCTGGCCTTCAGCCACACCAGCATATCTGGTTTCAGATGATTTTCACACATAACCTGACAGACTTGGCTTGCTTCACCCACCATTTATGAACATTCAATAAAACTGAGCCTGTATATCCTGCTTTCTTCACACTGATTTCCAAGAGTCTGAACACAATACTGACTTTACCACACTTATCCACATGCTCCAACCCATGGCTGGTGCTGCAAATGAAGAAATGCACACTGCTGAATCAGACGCGGGCCTCAAGCAGCTCAGCCAAACGAGACGGGCTGTTCAAGTAGCGAGACGGCGCCCAGAGCCGCGACGAGACCGCGGTCTCGCCACTCGACAACGCGGAAACCTATAAA